CTTAACAGAAGTTCTTAGGTAGTTTAATTAGTATAGATTTAACAGAGTGACCTGTATCATTATTTAGGTTCCTTGCTGAGTAGTTCAAAATTCAGCAAATGCACTTATATCTAATTCCTAAGCTGAAGATTCTGGATAAACGTACAACTGATAGCAATTAGCATGAAAAACCTACTCCGATTAATCTCCACAAGCGTATTCTGTGGTAGAAAAACAGCAATAAAGACAGATCATATTCATTGCTGCTTTTGCACCCAAGATCCTAATTTACCAGAAGCGTCAGGCATCAAAGCCTAACATGCAGATGTGCATAACTGAATCTCTACAATTTCTCCTGCCCAGAAAAGTCATTTTCAAATTTTGAGCAGAGCAACAGTTAATAGTTAACTATGGCAGAAAAAAAAAATCTCTGGATTGAAAAAAACAGATAGCAATGTAATGGAAGTAAAGAGTTTGGTGCCTCCTGGTAACTATTTGAAGTCTGGTAGCCCAGAGAGTGTAGCCATATAATTTGATTTAAATGTAAATGGTCATTACTATTTGAAAAATTGAGCTATTTCAGGAATGTGTAAATAATATAATCACTGTTTACATATTATATGTTTAGGGCACTGCCTGTCACCAGGGAATGTTATTTTATATTGGGATTTCTGTAATATTCAGGTGCCCCCAAAAGATATTTCTGCTTTACAAACAAGGAATCCACTAAAGTTAATGCATTTTCTCTTCTCCAGCTGTTTATAGCCTTATGAGGACCAGGCACCTCATAGGAGAAAAACAGCTAAGAAAGATCAATAGGAAAAAGACCAAACATGCTCATAACATCTCTATTTCAGCTACTTTGAACTTGCAGTATTTTTTTCTGTGGAGTAAAAAAAAAATCATTTTTGTTTTATATCAGGCCAAAAGTAAATAATTAAGTTTAACTCTCATTTTATTCACTAAATCCCATGTTTTACCTTGCCAATAAAAACTTCCAGGTCCTCCAAGTAGAACTCTGTCTTTCTAGAGAGGAAAGACAGAAAGAAAAAGAGGTTTCTTTATTGTAATGTAATATCTGAAAATAAGTACCTAGAGTAAGATGAAATTGTTACAACATTCAATGACTGAAGATTGCTCCACTGTGTCTGATCAAAGATATATTTTTTTTGCTTTTTCAGACATGACTCGAACTTCATATAATCTCCTTCACAGAGAATTCTGGCCAATCTAATACTAGTACTTTTGTTTTTATTTCCCATCGTATTGTTAAGTGTATTCGTATTCTGTGGTATTTCAACTTCCTTGTTTCACATTTCTGTAATGTTCTGTGATTATTAAAAAAAATAATTCTAGGAAATGTTGCATAACACATCTCATTTAAATCTCATTGCTACCCATTGATTGAATAGACACTGTTAGGCAAATGTATTTTTCCCTTCTCAATCCTCTTATTGAAAGAAAAAGATAATAATTCTCACCCACCATAAAGAATGGTTTAAGACACTAATGGTGTGCATTAGTTGCAAAGCTAAGCCATAACTCAGGGGTGTGAACATGAGTTTGCTCAAGCCCAGAAGTGAGTGCCCTGCCTTTTCTATCCTCTACCAGGAAATAATTAGGAGATGAAAAAGATCGGAAGCATCAACTTCTAGGTTTACAGCAACGATTGTCAGTGGCAGCTGTGGCATGGAGAACGATGAAAGTAGGCAGAAAGAGAAAAACAATGCAAAGGCTGCTCCTTTCGTACATGTGTCATGATGTTGCACACACATTTGAAACAAATGGAACTTGTGGCATAACACTGCTCTCATCGTTTTGATAAAAGCAGCAAGCCTCTATGGATGCCTATCCTTGAGGATGGTAAAGTTTAATCAAAAAAGTCAAGATCACATTGGTTCCTGATGCTGGTTTGTTTTATCAGGCCACATTTTTACTAAATTTAATTTCTGATTTGAACGTTGCACTTTTATTTGGATGCTGTGATTAAATAAGCTATGACTTGAACAAACCTTGCGTGTTCCAGGCTAACACATAGTTAAGATTAATCACAGGTGCACGCAAGCAAAAATCTTTGAAGGGCTCCTCGCCGTTAGAAACAAGAAGTGAACATGAGCCAAGGTAACACTAAGGCTCATTCATATAATTCTAAATTTGTAGGAAATACATCCCAACCGTGCCAATTGTTTACTTAACAATCCCAATCCCTCAATTAATGCATTTACTACAAAGGAGGATATAAATTTTCTGTGAATATCAAATGTAGTGCTTTGCCTTGGACAGGGCAAGCTGAGCTTACAGAAATGACATCCTATTCTTTCTTCTTCTCTTTCTTTTCTAGTATTAGGTCATTGAAATTCACTGCTTCTGTCTATGATGGACACATTTTCTGTTACTATAATGACAAATGTGTGTACATATAGAAGAATATACACACACTGTCTCCCTGTATATGTAAATATCTCTTACGTATCACAGCAGTTTAAATTAAAATTTCAGAAATAACATCACTGAAGATGGCTTAAAATATGAAAGCAAAGAGAATTTTTTTAAACCAAGTTCTCATCTAAGTGTAAAGGAACAAGATCCAGTAATGGATTAACATCGTATCTCTTTTTAGCCATTTATTTTCTTTGCTGATTTCCTCCCATGCAATCCTGGACAAAATAAACAATTTCATCAAAAAAGACAAGATGGGAACATGGCCGTGCCATCAAACTCTCCCACCTTTTACACATGCATGCAATATCAATACAGGTGCAAAAAGGGAGGGGCTTTGATGGCATGGTCACGAGCCCATTTTGCCTTTTTTAATCCAACCCCCCCCCCATCTCCTGAGGATGCCAATGGTTCACAGCAACTTTACCAAAGTATGTATTTAAGGCCATAGGAATGAAACAATAAACTGTTGCTTGTAAAGTTCCTCTGGTAGATTTCCCTGCCCGGGGTTGGGTTTTACAGATACTTTGCCCTCTACTGTGGAGTTCTGAGATTGAAGGAAACATGCAGAAATAACTTCCATACCTGAGTAAAATCAATGCTGAATCCACCTTGACAAAAGCCCTGTCCTTCAGCATCAGTGCTTGCTATGGCAATAAGAAACAATGGAAATGATTGTAAGGTTGTGTAATACAAAATTTCTACGCGACGGAAGGAAAGCTGGGGTGCAAACTGAGGAGTCTAGGAGAGCTGTTTTGAGGGCAAGGATAAGGCAAAAAAAAAAAAACCCAACCTTATTTCTGGGAAGAATGGCTTGAATGGGGAAAATATGGAATGAATAATCAGTGTTCTGCAACCTGGATCTCTTATGGAATCTCAAAATCTTCAGAAGGGGAGAAGAACAGAGGGACAGCACTAATTCTAATCCTTTGCTTTCTTTCAAAATAACACTCATAGGAAAACTCAGTTCTTACAGGAAATATCCTTGGAGGCTGTAACTTTTCTGGATAGCCTCATGTTAAAGGATGCTAAGGTCTTCTTACTGTTGTTGTTCAATTCCATTTCCCCACATCACTGTGGGGAGCCCATAATTCATTCTTACCTCCTCCCTATTTTTTAGTCCACAAAGACTTCTTGGGGGGGGGGAGATGGTGATAAGAGGGAGTATTCAGTCCTCACTTACATTTTAAGGTGATGCAGGCCAGTTACAAGGGGATCAGCTCACCAGCTGCTTTTGAGAATGCATTTCAGGGACAAGTAACCTTGTACTTCCTACAGCTCAGATAAAACCACATAGTTGGCAACCTGCTAGGAGAAGCCCAGCCATCCATGTATTCTGTTCTGCCACATTTCTGAGGGTGAACTCAGGCACTGAAAGCACAATTGTTAGCCACCATCCTTCTGACATCAGTTGATAGGACTTCATAGGGCTTTGTCAATCCTACATTGTGCAGGCATGATCTACAGTCATAACTGAACTAATGAAAAAAGGGTTTGTTCTGAGTTATTACAAACACCATTGGCTTAAAATACTGTCTGTTTCAAAATGAAAATGTGAAAGATAAACATTCTCTAGAATGACATATTGCTCTTTTCTTCTATATTTACAATGCAGTTACGGCCAGAAATAGCAATGAAATACAGTTTGCATTTAAAGAAGGAAAAGGCATTCCTCTTGCAGGCTAGGAAAGAGTCCAAAAAGCTCTTTATGACATGGTTAATCCTCTGACTATATAAAGCTTCACAAAACAATCTTTTCATTTGTTTGCTCGTTGGATCTTGGCCTTTCTTTTAGTTTTATCCTTTAAATAGATGTCCAGCCAACTCCAAAATGGTTCACTGACTTCTTTTGAATCCTAGTCAGAATGGGCCACATGCACTCCAGTTCATACATAATTTGGATTTGCTGCATTATTTTCCCCAAATCTCCTAACAGATGAGCTTATTCCTGCTCAGTTGAAAAAAAGGACTCCATTGAGGGGCAAAGTATGAAAGGACAGAGCTTGCGTTGTGATGTCACAATCTGTGTTTTATCATTTTGGCATCATCATGGTTAGATATAGATTTGTGAAATCACAGAGACTGCGGTGAGGGTGGTGGGGGTACAGAACAAGCAAATCCAAATGATCATACTCCCATTACCCTCTTCCATTTCTTTCCAGATTCAAAGCTTCATAGTGTTTTCTATGAAATCCAACTCTAGAGAAAGCGCTAAAAGGATAGATTTGCCCTCTCTCAATTGTGTTCTCCATTAAGGATCCCCCCCAATGATTGTAATGAATTATGAAAGAACAATACGGGAAATATGGGTGTTTAAGGCACATTCCTCCAAACAATGCATGAAAGAGGATGGTACATAGAAAACAGAATTTGCGCTGTAATTTTAACAAGACATTCTTTACATACTTGACCTGCAAGGAGCATATTCAACAGCTTTAGACCCGTTGTAAAGATAACAAGTTCCCACAGGCTCCCTCTGCGCTTTCTGTTCAGTTCTCCAGTGGTACAAAGGAGCACATGCCTGCAGATGAAGTATTCAGAAAGCTCTTTAAAAAGGGCCATGGCCGTGAGAAAAATCAAGGGAAAAGAATGGTTATGAACAACAAGCAGCCTCTGAACAAATGGCTATGTACATACTGGATGCCCTTTTCAAATAAGATACATGATGTGCTTTTTAAAAGAACCGGGATGCAGATCTTCCCCCTCACCCCCACCAAAAAAAAAAAACATGTTAAATTTGCAATCAGCCCTACTATGAGTTTGCTGACATTGCTAAACTATGAAGTGGGAGGAGTCGATGTAATGTATTTTACAATTCAGTTAAGTAGTGGCTTTATGCGCGTGTTCAAATGAGCCAAGAAAATTCAGGGGGAAGAGCTTGTATATCAATGTTATGATGATGTGCAATGAAGCTGAGAGAATCTCCATGTATCTAAAAGGCAGTTTGTTCCCATAAAGTATGACTGAGAAATAGACTCTAAGGTTCAATGGCAGGGCCTTCTAAGAAACAGAATCAGAAGTTTAAATGCATCTCAAGAAACCTCCCAATATACTCCAAATAATATATTTTCTCTCTTCCGCATAAAATAAATGGTTGATATTCATACCCTGAAAAAGTAAAACACGACTGCTATTTGCAATCTTCTTTGCTGGAATCAGCGAGGAAGCTGGCACGGAAGGTTGCAAACTGCTGCTACCTGTCAAATGATTTTCCCTTCTTTTATGCATAGAGGGTGAGTGGGATGAAAATCCTTCATTGGGCTCTAGAAATGAAACTAGGATCTTTGTGATTCCCACTTCATTTCTTCATCCTACTGTGCAAGTTCCTTTCTGTACACAAAGGGAGAGAAACTCATGTGCTGGGCTGGAGAAACCAGAGAAGGGAACTTTGTGATTACCCACTTTGTTTCTCCAGCCCGGCACATAAGTGTACACTTCTGATCACAGAGGGGAGAGGAACTCCTGTGCCGGCTGGAGTAACAAAGTGGGAATCCCAAATTCCACTCCTGAAGACTGCTGCAGGAGTTCCCTTCCCTGCATATTATAGGAGAACTGCCTACCCTCCTTCAGCAGGTAGTTCTTTTGCTCTGTCTGCTTCTGGGATTGAGGTTGTTGAGTGAGACAATCATGTGGACATCTCACTTGATGGCACGAGAGTTCAGTCCCAATTGTGGTTCTAAGTCAAAGATTATCCATAAAGTATCACTGAAATTTTTACAGGCAATGATATGGTTACCTTATCAACCCTATACTTCCTACATCTGATACATCTGTTGACTTCAAGGTGTGACATGCCCTCTCCTTTAGCCTAACAATCTTGCTTGATTAGGGCAGCACCCACCTAGAACAGGGGTGTCAAACTGCCAGCCTGCGGGCCGGATGTATCATGCCGAAACTGCGCCCACCCCAGCTCCGGCAATGGGGAAAAAGTCATGATACATCACAACACGTTATGTGATGTGGTGAGTTTGACACCCCTGACCTAGAAGAACAGGCAGGTCCTAAGACAACAAGCAAATAAAGACGTTTTTAAAAAATCTTATATATCTTTACATCAACTTTATGTCTTGAATCAATTAAATCTATTTACCTACCGATCTATTATATCCGTATATCCAGCCATCTATCTAGTAATTTCTAGATAAATCACTTCAATGGGGATAAAATAAGAACAAAGCCAATACAAATAATAACTCTATCTAGCCTAATTTAATCTAATATAATGTGCTCCTTTATAATGTAAGACATTAGTATAATCAATGCCCATATTAGTTCAACTTGTGAGGTCTTGCTAATGTCTTGCTAGTTGGTCTCTCCTTTGTTGCCATTTTATATTTTATTATTATTTTTTATTGCCCTGTTCTTTTTAAGCTATGTTAGCAACCCAGAGTTGATGTTGCAAGAAAGGATATATATATATACTAGCTGTACCCGGCCACGCGTTGCTGTGGCTCAGTCTGGTTAAATTTACGTCCGACAGATGGCGCTGTTTTTCAAAAAAGCATGTTTTACCTGTCACAGGTGTGACATCTATATAATAGTAGGTATATAAAAACACGCGCATATTCAAATGCAACGTTGTGTCAAAATTTCAAAGCAATCGGTGAAGAACTTTCGGAGATTTAAGATTTTGAACAAACGAACATTTACATTTTTATTTATATAGATATCCTTTCTTGCAACATCAACTCTGGGTTGCTAACATAGCTATATATATAAGACCTTCCTTGAGATTCCTTATCTTAAGGGGGAGGGTATTACAAAGAGCCCAGGAGCTACAGAGAAGGTATATGATCAAGCTCTCATTCTTCTCATCTCACATGGGATGGAGACCTTTAGCATACCTTCTCTCAGAAGATGCATTAAGCCAGGGCTTTTCAACCTTTTCACCCATTTTAGCACTTTTAGGATATGGCAATATCTGAGTACCACCAGTCGCCTAGCAAGGCGTCAAAAACTTGATGATAAAAAAAAAAAAGGAAAGGAAGAAAATGATAAAGTACAGGTAGTCCTCAACTTACAACAGTTCGCTTAGTGACTGTTCGAAGTTACAATGGCACTGAAAAAGTACCCCCCAAGCCACAGCCGAGCAAGACACCTGCCTGCCCACCCTCTTCGTCCTGTCCGAGGTTTCCATTGTTGTGAGCATTTCTGTTGAGGATTGGCAACGGGGGTGGGGTGGGGGGTATTTGGTTTTTATTCCCCCCATCTGCTGGGTGGTTGCAGCAGGTTTTGGTCACTTCACATGACCCTGGGACACTGTGACCATCATAAATATGAATCAGTTGCCAAGCATCTGAATGTAAATCACAAGACCCTGGAGATGCTGCAACATTCCAGCTGATCGGCGCTTCTTTTGGGCTCAGCAGAAGTGCCAGGATCAGCACCGAGCTCCAGCTGGAGCTTGGCGCTGATCCTGGCGCTTCCGCAGAGCCCTGACAGCCCTGCAGCTCCAGCCGTCTCTCGCTCAGGCTTGTGCAGTGCTGCCACCGGTTCAGTTCATTCCCCTCCCCCGCTACCACTTTTCTAGGATGGTCGCGTACCACCTGCCAGGTGCCAATGTACCACAGGTGGTACCCGTACCACTGGTTGAAAAGCCTTGCATTAAGCCATGAAGTGCTTTAATGGGGAAAACTAGCACTTTGAATTGGTCCCAGAAACCAATCAGTAATCACTGCAGAAACTACTGACTGGGTGCTAAACTGCTGAATCTGCTACCCCCAATTAGTAGATGAGCTACTATGCTGATCTCTGGCATTCAAGCTGAGAGACAGTATGCCCACTTACTAGAATTAACAGTTCACAGAACTAAGATTTCAATACAAACCAAGCCAACCCTTTATGCATGCTGACTGGAGAATTCTGGGAGTTGAAGTCCACAAATCCAATCCATCGCCAGACTCGATTTAAAATGCTGCTTTTAAACCTTGTAGCTCTAATTGATTTTGGCCCGGATTAATTGACAAAGCTATATTTATCTACTGGATGTTAAAGCCATCTATGGCTCTGACCAATGAAGTGACCTGTAAGGAAGAACTTTTTCCCCCCTTTTCAGAAGTTATGTTCGGATTATTGTAATGATTAATTTTGACACAGAAATTGAATATTTATTTAGTCCCTTAAGCATGTTATGATTGCTTTTAGATTAGACACTGGGGTTTTTTGTGGTTCTTTTTTATTTAATGTGTTGTGGTTGTTGTTTTTTTTGCTGCTAGATTCATTTTTATTATCATATGTTTTAGCCTTTAAAACATACATTAATGTTCCCTAAATGTTTTTATTGGTTTGTATTTTATATTTCACTTTATGCATTGATGGTAGTAATATGTGACAAGCCTTAAAATGAAGACTTACCAAAATTTTATTTTCTTTAGATCTCACAGACGCCCCAAACCATTGATGTGATTTGAATTCCAAAAGATCATCTACAGCAAATTCTCTGTTGCCTAGAAGACAAAATATTTAGGCAGAATTCTGTGAACATGACCTTGGAATGTGACAACATCCTAACTTTTTCATGAATACCAAACTCGCTGAAGTGATAATAGAAGTACACCCAAATATCACTAGTTTTTGCATCACTTGACAAGCTGATAACTTCAAAGCTGAGCTTACGAACTGATGCCGCTGAAAGATCCTGCGACTGAGATGTGACATAGTAAATGTTGTATCTGAAGAGACTAATCCAGAATGACTCATTTGCAAAGAGCACATTTTTCAAAAGTAATATAAGCCATTATCAGCCTGCTTGCCTGCAAAGGCCTGAACACTGTCTCATCACAGACTCTGAGATACATTTCTCTGGGACTTGATAAGGGTCAAAGTTCATTAGAAAATGACTGAAGTACAAATATTTTCCTCATAAATCTAAAAGTATGTGATTATGTGATATGTTCACTGTGTCAAGAAACTGAAATGGAGTTCCCTCCTTCCTTCCTTCCTTCCTTCCCATGGAAAGAAATTGAAAAAGTATGCAAAAAATCAGAAGCCTAATATTTAAATTATACACAAGGAAAGGTAGATTTGGTACATAAAACCTAATTATATTTTATGACAATAAAGCAAAATATTAGTAAAGAAATGCAAAGATAGAAAATTCAGGCTTCTAACTACAGAAGGTCCACATATTTAATTGGAAAATAAGAGGCCAGTATGACATAGAATTTAACACATTTAATTGTGAATGGGCAATCTAGATTTCAGTGGATTCTCAACCATTGCTGAGTAAGGTATAAATCTCACAAATGAATAAAGGAATCACTTCTGCAATTGTCATGCAAGGACTGTTGTTTATTTCAAATACTTATTATTACAATCAAAATCAGTGCATTTAAAACTACTCAAAGAGTATCTAGTTAAAATTTCTAGAATAAAATAATAACAAATAAAATTTATGTTGAAATCATAATTTGGCAGCCAATCTATCAATTGCACATAAACAAGAACACAGCCTAAGCTATAATATTAATCCTTAAAATTGCGAAGACCTATAGGCTATTATTTATTGTTGTTTGACCTAGAAAAAACAATGTTAAACCCCTCAGAGATCTTAGGCAACAAATATGCAAAACACTATGATAAAATTGCTAGTATTCATATCAAATATTAGTTTTTAATATACTATATATCGTATCCAATAGACCCTTGAGTCCAAATTTAGGTTTATGTGGCCTGATGGAATGGAAGATACTGTCTGCTTTACCCCATGCTAACTTAAGCTCTATAATATGATTTGATATTTATTATTGTGTTGATGAACGGCCTTGGGGGTGTTTGTGACCCCTCTCGGTAATGTATCCATTTGGGTTTCACATGAGGCATCAGTTTTAGCCTAGTGCTAGGAGAATTACTTTTGTTATTCAGGAGACCGTTGTGGCTTTATGAGATGCTGTTCTGCAGATAACCAGATATGAGACTCTGTGAAGTTGGTATCTAGGAAATAGAAGGGATTGCTGCTTCTGTATTGGCTTCCCTGTTGCCTAGTGACTTTCTATCAGCCTTGTTTCCATATCTTGGAAGATATGCTGTGGGGTGCCATAAGGCAATGTTCTGCCTTCAGTGCTATTTAATAACCACATGAAATCATTGGGGTGTCCATTAAGGACCTTGGAGCTATGTGTCACCAATTTTAAAATTTTTAAAATAAATATTTAGAAAATGTAGGTGGTTGCCCATCTTAAATAACTGGGCAGGTAACAACCAATACATGAGAGAAAAACAATGTGATAAAACACTATCAAAAAATACAATTAAAAATAATCATAAAAATAACCGAAGTACTGCATAACTAACTCCCAAGAAGACACATATTGGTCTCTACTACCACCAGGACCCTAAAGCCAGAACTACAATTAAGAACTTGAAACATTTCTTTCTAAATTTAAATGACAGCAGAGCAAGAGTAGCAACTTGATTGCTAAGTTAGAAACAAGTCTGCAAGAAGAGAGTTCAATTGTCCAAGCCCTTGATACCTACCAACTATAATTTCCCTCTGATTTCATTGTAAATGGGGCAATGGAGGAGGTAGCATAGTTTGAGTGTAGTTCTTGAGTCCTCACTGCCCTTGGAAACCCAAGTGACCGGTGTGATTAGGAGCTCCTACCCTACCACAACTTTCAGATGGCATAACATTATACACCAGTGATGGCGAACCTTAGAGACCGAGTGCCCAAAAACCGCCCCCGCCCGCCTCCACGGCCTGCCACAGCAGATCGACTGGATGGCCCAGCAGCGCCATGGTGGCCATGCCCTCCACCCGTGCCCCGCAGCGAGTCTTGTCCCTGCTGCCCAGCTGCCATGTGCTTGCTGTGCTGCTCCGCGTGGGCTGTGCCTGGGAGCAACTTTCCTCTGGGGGAGCTGCTGGTGAGGAGGGGGCCGTGGGGGGAGGCGGGGCTGGGGCAATGGGCAACATGTGCCCTCTGAGTGCCTGTTATGTACATCAGTGTCCACTGAGTATCATCTGCAAATAATTGCAGACAGGTGTTCTCTGAGGTGGAACACGCACTTTAAAAGCCATTTCTCCCTGATAATTAGGAAATACCTATTAAACTAATTTCTTTACCACAGGTGCTCAGTGCAAACCACAGTGATGCTGCATGAATGACGTAATCATGCAAAAGATACAGACAGAAGGAAAGAAGGGTGGAAATGGAGTTTATATGACAAATGTTAGCAAGGTCAAAATGTGAACATGGTTCCTGGTCCCAAATTGTATTATGTTTGGAAGTAATGGATAGGCAGAAAACTAGATGACAAAAGTCATCCACTCTAGAGATAGGAAGGCTACCAGCAAAAAGTGACTTGCAGTAATTCAACAACTTAGAATAATCAGGTTCTCAAACTGAACTCTTCTTGCTTTTGGACAGCAAATTTATCAGCCATTCCTGAAATTGGTATAAACTGATGCAGGCCATACTATTTTTAAAAATTGTTCAAATAATTCTATATTTATAACACTTCAGAAATGCAGACTGAAACAAGAAATCCATTTAAAGATTAGTACAGATGCCCTAATGAGTAATGTAGACACCAGAGAAACTCTGTCTACCAGACTGATGGATCCTGATGGCAGGTCAGGAAGCAGAACTTCGGCACTAGAGAAATCTACGTTGGTAGAGAAATTCTTTATATTTTTCAGAGTTTTAAAGAATAAGGCCAATTTAAACTGTTGGAAACAAACTGACAACTAGTGAAACTGATATCATATCAATGTAATACATTTTGAATACCAGATTTTGATATAATGAGAACTTATATAACTGAGCTAGCAACGTCTTCCTTTATATAAACTGATTTATTATTTAACTATGCTAGTGATATTTCCCACTATCACATAATTCTTCACTGATTAAGGCATATGTTCAATCCATATTTCTATGGGATGAGGACTAATCCTTAGCTTGGGTTCACTCATCCATTTCCAAACCGTTTCAAGAACTTACTAAGCAGTTCCATTCCCCTGTGATAAGATAATGAAAAACATACATCAAGCTATGTATTATCTTCATGCTGAGAACTTCTTCTGTGGATTCATGTTAATGCTAAAAAGCAAGACAGCCCAAGATGGAACCTTGAGGTACTTCATAATCATCCAATCAGAAACAACATCCAATCAGAAACAAGTCAGAAAGACATCATAGTAGATGGTATTCCAAGCTATGAAAATCCCAAAATATATTTAAAAAAATGCAGTCTATCCATCTCTCTCCTGAAGTAAATAATCTACCAGGACAATCACAGAAGCTTCTGTCTAAGTTACCTCTCAGGAAAGTGATTAAAATAGTCAAGGACGTTCAAGATTGCTCAGAGACATTACCACCCAATCTTTAACCTTACTGAAAATGGCCAGTCTGTTCATATTGCATGATTCAAGCTTTACTCATTCATCACTACGATCCAATGAGTTCACTGAAGCATCTCCAAGTTTTATATTTATTTATCCACTAACTACTGTTGGAAAGCAATTCAGGCTACCTCCAAAGTTTATACCAGCTAAACAATGCTCTCATTAAGCATAGACGGTAATGATTAAAAGTCCTCTTTCCTGTGAGTCAGCAGCTCCTCTGTTAACTTGGTAGACTGCTGGCTATGAGTCAAAACTTTTTTGTATGCTATCCACCATGTAAGGAAATCTCTGCCTCCTTAGACATATTATTACTTCCTGTTGGGGAAATCCCAAAGAAATAGCTGTTTTTGCCAGCAGCCAAAACAAAGAACAGCTGATTTAAAATCTTATAAGTGATTTATACTCATGTAGTATAGGATAGTGGAAATTCTACCACTTAATTTTCTGCATTGTCAATTGTGAAAAATTTCTGGGAAGAAACATAATTGCGTTCTTATTATGGGTTACCATAATGGTCTGGGTTGGAAACCCAAACATAAATCCACATCCTAAGCCTACTGTATTTTAAGACTTCCACAACCAGAAATCACACACAGAATTTTCACAACTTGATCAGAGGGATTCCAGAAAGTCTGTCTTAGTGTATTCTCATATTAGCAGAGATCCACAACCAGTTGCTGACAGTTACAAATTCATATGCCACATTCATTGCCACATCAGTTAATCTTTGAGATTCCATGCTTTTCTTAAGCTCATTTCCCTATGGATGTAAGAATTTAAAACAGAACTTCAAAAATTGGGTTTCATTTATCTCCAAATACAGTAACATTTCAATGCACAAATCTCAATACACAAAGCCAGCAACTCATCAGAGCCACAGCTGAACCCTACTATAAACTAAAGATGAGGGAAACCATCTATTATAGTAACGTTCACATTTTAAAACTTCAGGAAGCACTTTTCAAAATTAGTTAACTTTTTGATAAAACTTTGAAAATGCCATCTCCATTCCAGACTGCAAAAATACGTTTTAGGGCAAAGGTTTCACTGTATTCTAAATGTTGCTAAATAAAATACCCAGTCTTCCTCATCATCAGTTAT